TACCGCGTTCAGTCTGGATTGACTGACCTTGAAGTACATCCATACCAAGAATATTTTCAGGCAATTCTGACACTAAAACATTTGTCCAAAATCCCGGTCCCTTTCCAATAGCCAGTTTCACCCGTGTCCTAATTGCTGGTGTGGTCTGCCCTCCCAAACCTTCTACATAAATCACTCCTCCTTTGTGATGGGAGGGATCACCATGTAAAAGTGTGACTTCAGCTCCAGTATCTACTAAAGCCATTACATGTGTGGGAGAAGAGAATGATGTGGACTGGGCTACAGAGGAAAATTCCAGAAACAGTTGTGCAAACTATGCAGGGATTGTTACCTCTTACTTTGAAACAGGAAGCCCAGAAATTAATTGGAGTCGTGGGATTCTGGAGATCGTTCATCCCACATCGTGGACTGATATTGAGGCCCATATACAATGGGACATGGAAAAAGACTGAGTTTTATGTGATTCTAAACAGCAGAATGCATTCCTTGCTGCTAAAGAAGTCACTTTTCAGCACAAAGGACTGAGACTGATGAGACCAGGAGAACAGTTTCAGCTGGATGTAGTTGAGCAGGATGATACCAGATCCTGCAGTTTGCAGAAGAATGAGATTACAAAGGTGGCTGCAGTTGTGCCAATTGATCCAGTTTTGATGAACTTGGCCAGCTGGGCCCACAAGCAATCAGGACATTTGGGGCAGAACTGTGAGCAGCGAAGAGGATTGCCCATAACCATGGATATGATAAAGACTATGATAGGAAACTGTGCAGTGTGTGGAGAAGTGCAACAATGGCAACTACAAAGGTATTCCACCAGGAGCATCGAAAGGGGCGAGAGGCATGCAGAGATTTGGCAGGTTGACCTTATCGGTCCCCTGCCCCGAGGAAACAATGGACTGAGATATTGTTGCACTACAGTTGACACCTATTCAGGACATTTGCTTGTCCGACCTTGTAAGCGAGCAGATCAAGCTGCAATGCTCCATTTGCTCCAGAAGATCATCGTTGCCTATGGCTACCCAAGGGAAGTTCAAAGTTTGCACTCTACCGGATCTACAGAGCAAGAGATGACCAAAGATTCTGGAGTCTACTGGCTGTGCCACTACCCATACCATTCACAGGCGGCTGGGTTAATTGAAAAATACAACGGGCTATTGAAGGACCAGATACGCAAGCTTACACCCACACATACACTGAGGGGGTGGGATCGGGTCCTTATACAGGCAATTCTGTTGTTAAATTCTAAACCGATAGCCAAATGCACACCGTATGAGGAGGATAGTGGGGGCTGGAGCACAGGTTCCACAGCTGGAGTGCAGAATACAGTATTTACATGATGTTCCTAAAAGAACGGGTCCTAATGCTTACCAGATCACTGCTTCCCATGAAATTGAAACAATGTCTGATATGTCTGAAACTGAGGCCTATCTAGGAATAAGAGGAGATCTGGCAGGAAGGTTTGAAGTTATATTTGCATTGGCAGATGAGCTTCAGGATAGTGATTGGGACTCTGACTGGTTAGTTGACACTTCTCAGTCAGAGTGGAAAGTGAAGCTCTATAATGTCAAACCTTCCAAAATAAATTGTAATATGACACTGGGAAATATCAGTATATTTCCTCTCCTCCCTATTGATGTTCTTTGGGAGGATCACAAATGGGTACAAACAGTTGGCAAAGTATTGGTCAGAGAGAGGAGAGGCAAGAAGCCAGTTAAAGGAGAGATTGTAGCGGAAGGGCCGGGGTCTACTGTTTTTTGTGTTGTTGTAATGAACATATTACACACTCTGTTTTCCACTCCATAGGCTGTCTCCGATTTGACCCATGGAGAAAGTGGCTTCAGGATGAAGAGAAGAGGAAGACAACGGGAACTGAGGAGAATAAGCCTACAAGACTGGACTTTCTCTCATGAACTTTGCCAAAAGATTGAAACACCTCTTTAGTAGAGGAACTTGGGGGGTTGTTGTATCTATTGTGAATGAATGTTTGGTATGAGTGTCATTAGTGGTTAGGGTACACTCATTTTTCCTGTGTGGTGTCTGAAATAGTCTAGGGCGCAATGTGTTGCGATATATCTTAGTGGACTTTCAGACACACATAGATTTGCAATAAAGACAGAGGTTTTGTTTGTTTGTTGATAGAAACTGGGTTCATACAATGGAAGGTGCCACCTAAACAAACCATACTGGTTTTTCACAATGGTGTAGCTTGTCCTGTATTGATTCGTATCACAATGGGATGGTGATCGTAAACAGTGACACCTAGCCTGGTCAAGACTCAAATCAAATCTGGACTACTGATGGCAATTTATGGTACAGCGCTGCCACCTAGAGGTGGGAAAGTGAAATGTATTGCATTTTCCTAAAGGTGAAAGGGGTGGCGCTTCCAAAGTTTTAGGCCAGTTTTCTCTCAATAAAAAGCCAGTAGCTGAAAGGTTGAGGAGCACAGCACTTCACCAGACCAGGGCTTCACAGGAGGGGGACAGTACGAGGACGCTTCACAAGACGAGAGGACTTGCTTCAAGACCAGGACATACAAAAGGATACAACGAGAAGCCATTCTTCCTAGGCCAAGTCCTGCTCATCACGGAATTTGTGGAGCCTGCAGCCTGAGCCAAGTACATTTTCAGCGTTTCCCCTCCTAGAAATCATACATGTACTAGAAGATAGTGTAGTGGGTGCATGTTATAGTTTGTAGCAGCCTGTCTTGTTTATGTATTTGTTTGCTTTTCCTGTAACTAAGTTTGTACACGCAGCATTTTTGCCAAGTAAAGTACTTTTAAATGCTACTGGGTCAGTTTCCTTGAAGTTTACTGCAAGAACAGACAACAAATAGAAATGAAAGTTTTGCCAAGCTTTACAGCTGGGCTCATCCTTGGGATAAGCTTGACGTCTCTGGGATTTGTAGTCCAGAGCATTACACCCACACATACAGTCCAGCAGTGTCTGGACGCACTGTAACTGTAATGAGGTCTGGGCACCCCAAAACTAATTAGGAAACCTTGTCGTCCCCTCAGTTTGTTGAAATTCATCACTTCTAGTTATAATTAAATCACACCGCCCATTAAACAGATGTGTTTGGGGGCGTGGCTAGCCGGTGATGTGAGCGGACGTGGTGTTTGTGAGCTCCGCATCTGACCCACTACCTACACTTAGCAGCCATCCCTGATTTCTAGGAAAAAAGAAAATAGCACTGCGCTTCAAACTCAAAAAAATGTGAAAAAAATAGTATAAAATGTGAAATTGTCACAAAGTGATACACAATTTTGTGTCATACACAACACCTGTGTTGCACAATGCTGATGATAGTAAAAAAAAAAACACTAGGTCTATGGCTAGGCACACACCTTACAACCATCGCAAGACTTTTGTCTTGCGATGGTTGTAAGGTACTTGCATAGGCAGATCGTACTTGCGATGATCGCAAGCCACGCCCCCTGAGGGGCAGGCTTCCGATGGCCGCAATGCTGAACGGGCAGTGTGCGCTTGCGCACACTGGCCCGTATGGCTTTTATCGTACGGACATGCCACAAACCCGCCGAACATCGTACGATGCTCGGTAAGTTTTCGAACATGTCCGTAAGTTTAAAGTCGTGCGACCTTACAGTAGTAGAGGTCGCACGGCTTCCACACACCTTACGATAATCGTACGATCGCGGGATATCGTAAGGCGTGTGGGGACCTTAATGGTCTAGACCAGGGGTCAGCAACCTTAAACACTCAAAAGAGCCATTTGGACCCATTTCCCACAGAAAAGAAAACACCAGGAGCCACAAAACCCTTTTGACATCTAAAATAAAGATAACACTGCATATACCGTTTTTTTACCTTTATGCTATGTATAGCATGTATATAGGTATATGTGGGCTTAGAAACGCACTGGACTCAGGGCTTAGAAACGCACTGGACTCAGGGCTTAGAAACGCACTGGACTCAGGGCTTAGAAACGCACTGGATTAACGTGGGAGCGTCTGCACAACCTATACAACTGGCCTTATAATTCAACTTTGTTACCCTTGACGAACTCAGATTACTTCCCACCCGGGAAAACTGATGCTCTCTTCCTATCCTGGACAGAATCTACATGCTTACACCTAGGAGACGTTATACAAGGAACTGAGCTCTGCTCTCTACAATCTCCGAGAGATAAATGGGGGGTACATCCAATGGACTTCTGGAGACACAGACAGCTCCAACACTTTGTTTTCTCACTCCACAGACCTCGCCGGTCTCATACAAGTTTTTTGCCCTTTGAATCTATCCTGGGGTCACCCACTCCTCTAAGTCATGGCCTCTCTGTGACTTATAAGATCCTTCACAATCTCACGGATACAACACCACCACCTTTCATAAAGAAATGGGAGCAAGAACTCCACCACCCGCTATTCCCTGCTCAACAATCTAAAATATTGCAAATGTGCTCATCTGTATCATCAGATAGTTATATGATGGAAGTGAACTATAAACTTCCAGCCAGATGGTTAACCATTTAACCATACCTGGTTCCGCACACCCTGCACGCCATTTCTCCTGCGACCTCTTTCTTATGCTGGCGAACATGCGGTGCAGTGGGCACCTTTGCCCACATATGGTGGCAATGCCCGTTAGCACAGCGGTACTGGAGGGAAATCACACGCCTCATAACCTCCATAAGTGGCATTCCCACGCCTTTAGACCCATGGATACGCCTCTTCCATCTTAACCCCCTTTCAAGGCGCACATACAAAAAGACCATAGTACCCTTCATGCTCAATGCCGCCAAAGCTCTCATTCCAAAACACTTGCGCTCCTCCCAAATGCCAACTGTGGCGGAGTGGTTGAGTTGCGTAGATACATTGAGGCTGATGGAAGAACTTACTCATGCTCATAAAGATGAATATAGCAGCTTTTACAAAACGTGGGCATGCTGGTTACACTTTAAATCCTCAGATGAGTTTGTGGCTCTGCAAGCCAAGGAAATCACTGTACCGTCTGGCTGAAATAGTCAAAGTGTTCATTTCTAATACTTACCGTGTATACTTGAGTATAAGCAGAGTTTTTCAGCACATTTTTTGTGCTGAAAAATGCCCCCCTCGGCTTATACTCGAGTCAGCGATTTGTATTAACCTGCAAAATCTGAATAAACATTTAATTTGAAAAAGTGACGCACCGGGCCCCGGGGCTTAGTGACGCGCCGGGGCTTAGTGACGCGTCGGGCTTAGTGACGCACCGGGCTTAGTGACGCACCGGAAGCCCACCTGAGAGTGACCCTGCAGAGCACACCATAGATCCTGCACAGCCCATCTGAGACTCTCTATGGTGGGCTCTGCAGGACCTCAGGTAGGCTAGTCACCGGGGTCCCTTTCGCTGTACCTCCTCCCAACTCCTATTACCTGCTGCTGCTGGGGCCCGGCCTCCTCCACCCCCTCCCCTGTCACCTCTGCCATGCCGCCACTGGTACAGCTGATACTCATGTAAGAGGCCCCCCAGGCTGCACAGACCCCTCACATGGGTACCGGCTGTACCCCCCCTTATGGCGGTGTTCTATCAAAGTTTGCGACTAAGTTACAGTGTGTGAGCGGTGACGTGGTCACACATTTTTATGTAATCCCGCCCAGTTTTTTGGCGGTGGAATGTGTGACCGCCATTAGGTCAAGCATTCCAACCCTTTCTCAGCAGTTCCAGGGCAGATCGGCATCGCAAATCATATGTGCAGGAGAACTGATCTGCCCTGAAACAACTGTTCGGTCCTGAAATGTCACTTTTTTGTTTCAAATAATATTTATTGAGTTTTATAAAGGGTACAAAAAGGTATGTATTCATACATACAAACCAACAAACAAAGTAATACTGTGAGCCCATATCTGGGATTACAACAGGTACTGAAATAACCAGAAGTGTGAGTATTCAATTCTGTTTATAGACAAGATAAGAAGCAAAACCGGGAACTACCCTTACGGCCGTTTCCTGGAGCCATTAGTCAGTATTCATGGGATCATGTGCGTCACATTATAGGCGAGTTCTTTTGCTCCTATTGTTCGTTGACCTGTCACCACAACTGCGACACGTCAGCGGGATGTTGTTGCCGACCTTTGGGGGGTTCGGGAACTCAGAGTATGGATCAACCATTACAACTGAGTTGTGAAAGGTTAGGGTGGGAGCATAGGGAGAGGGAAAGAGGGATAGGTCACGGGTGGGAGGGTTGGGGTGGTAAGTGTTAGGGTATTGTTTAAGGGGGGCCTGTGTGACAACGGGGGGATGAGGCCGCCTCTTTTCCCATGCTTCGTGCAAAGCGTTTCAGTGTAAGGCAGTAAAAGCAGCAGTGCCAATGAAATAAGACCAGCAGATCCATTTTGATCTGAAGGCATCTAGGGAGTCTTGTCTAGTAGCTTGAAGTTCCTCCATCTCAAATACGTGGCCCACTTGTGACAACCATTCTCGTATAGTGGGTGTATGGTCTGTCTTCCAGTGGCGAGGGATGATAGTGCGTGCAGCATTGATGAGGTGTCTATGGAGTGTTTTAAATGCACCCTTGGGGCGATCGGGTACCCAATGTAAGAGAGCGACTGTGACGGTGAAGGGGAGTGCGGCTCCGGTTATTTTGTGAATGGCTGCAAATACTTTTTCCCAGAAGGGTTGAATGAGGGAGCAGGACCAGAAGATATGGGTAAGGGTGCCCTTTTCCGTGTGGCATCTCCAGCATAACTGGGATACTGATGGGTAAATGCGGTGTAGTGTGTGGGGCGTCCTGTACCAAGATGTGAGAAGTTTGTAGTTCGTTTCTTGCATTCTGCTATTAATAGTACATTTGTGAGCTGTTGTGCATATGTCAGCCCAGGTTTCGTCGGAGAGTGTGGTGTGGAGGGTCTGCTCCCATTTAGAGTGTGGGCGAGTTATTTGTGGGGAAGAATAGTCTCGTATCAGGTCATGTAGCCATGAGATTAAGTGTCCAGTCCAGCCTTTCCCTAGGCAGAGTCTTTCGAAGGGGGTCAGGGTTCTAGAGGTGGATGCTTTGCGTGTGTGGGACGTGAGGAAGTGCCGTATCTGCAGGTATATGCACCAGGGGAGTGAGCCCCCTCCTCGTGAGTTCTGAAAGGTTAGCTTTATCAAGGAATTTACTGGATTTGAAAAATAGATGAGCTCGGAGGGGGGGTTCCTGGGACCAATGCAATAGGAATTCTCTGGTGGAACCTGGAGGGAAGTCCTGGTTGTGCATTAAGGGTTCCATGGGACTGTGTGATGAGGTGAGAATGTTGCGGCGCCGTTCGGCGGAGAAGACCGCTAAAGTTGCCCCAATGAGTGGATGGTTCTTTATAGTGATGGACCACTGGGTGTCTCTAAGCCATACCAATGATGTAAGAGGAGTGGCAGGTATTGCATTCTCTAGTGTTGCCCATAATTTCGAGTATGTATGGAGGTGCCAGTGTACAACTCTGGTGAGGTGTGTGGCCTTGTAGTATGTGTTTGTGTCAGGAACCCCTAATCCACCCATATGTTTAGGTGCTTTAAGCAGAGACCAAGCTAAGCGAGGTCGTGCATCTTTCCAGACAAAGGAGGAAAAGCTTGCATCTAGTGCCTTGAAGAATGTGCGCGGTAGCTTGATGGGTATGGTTTGAAATAGGTACAACAGTCTGGGGAGGACGTTCATTTTCAGCATCGCTACCCTTCCCAGCCAGGAAAAGCTGTGTTGCCTCCAAGATTTAAAGGTCTCTGAGAATTGTGTCGCGTATGGTCGCGAAATTGGAATCATAAAGAAGGGATAAATCTGAAGTCAGCTTTATTCCTAGGTATTGTATTCGGGTTGGCCTCCATAGGAAGGGGAAGGATGATTGAAGACGATGTTGCATGGCGTGAGGTATGTTGAGGGGCATGAGCTCCGATTTCGTGAAGTTTATTTTTAGGTTGGAGAAGGAACCGTATAGGTCAAATGCATTCATTAGACGCTTCAGAGATGGCAGGGGGTCGGAGAGGATGAAAAGTAGGTCGTCGGCATACGCCATCGTTTTATGAGTCGTGGGCCCTATTGTGATACCACTTATTTGGTCATCTTTTTGCACTGTTCTAATGAAGGGTTACAGGACTAGTGCGAAGAGCGTGGGGGGATAGTGGGCATCCTTGACGGGTCCCGTTGGATATTGGGAAGCTGTCCGAGAAACAGCCCATTGTTCTCACTCTAGCTCTGGGGCAGGAATATATGGCTTGTATCCAGGTGAGCATGCGTTCTCCTAGGCCTATGTGCCTGAGGACTGCGAACATGAAGTCCCATGCTACCCTGTCGAATGCCTTCTCCGCATCTGTCGACAACACCAGCGTTTCGAGTTTCCGTTGCTGTACCCAGTGTGTAAGGTTCAGTGCTCTGCTGGTGCTGTCTTTGGCTTCTCTACCCGCAATGAAGCCCACCTGGCAGGTAGAAACCAGGTCAGGCAGCAGCGGGAGAAGGCGATTCGACAGGGCCCTCGTGAATAACTTCAGGTCCACGTTAAGTAGGGAGATGGGCCTGTAGCTCGCACAGAACTGGGGGTCTTTACCTTCTTTGGGGATCACTGTGATATGGTGTTGTGGTGGTGGTTGATGTTTGTGTGTTAAGGAGTTGTAAGCCGTTAAACATGTGGGGGAGTAATGCATCTGTGAAAGATTTGTAGTACTGGGATGTGAGGCCATCGGGGCCAGGGCTCTTGCCCGGTTTTGTTTGTTTGAGGGAAGTCTGGAGTTCCTCTATCGTGAGGGGTTTGTTTAAGGCTGACAATAGTGTTTTGTCAACCTGGGGCATGTTGGCTCGTGTTAGGTATTGAGTAATGTGGGATAATCGGGTGACATCTAAGGGCTTCGTTGGGGTAATTTGGTCAAGATTGTATAGGGTAGCATAGTATTCTTGAAGACAGGAAGCTATCTCTGGAGGTGAGTGTAGTAATACTGCGGGAGATTTCCTTATACTGTGTATGTGGGAGCTGAATTTCTGTGCGCGTACCGCTCTTGCTAAGAGCCTACCGCATTTATCCCCCTCAGAGTAGTAGTGGCCTGTTCGTAGAGTAAAGGCCCGCCGGATCTTGATCGATAGGAGCTGTAGGAGTTCCTGTCTGGCCTCAGTCAGGGAGAGTAGCTCGCGGTGGGCAAGAGATTGTTTATGGGCCATTTCCAGTTTATGAATCTTGGTCGAGAGGGCTTGGATTTGCGCTGTTTGCGCTTTTTTGAGTTTTGCTGCTAGGGATATGAGTTTCCCCCTAATAAAGCATTTGTGGTCTTCCCAGGTCTGAAATGTCACTTCTATCCGACTTTGTGAGTGGGGTGGAATGTGAGATTGCACTCGCAGAGTCGGATAGAAGTGACATTTCAGGACTGAACAGATCAGTTCTCCTGCACATAAGATTTGCGATGCCTATCTGCCCTGGAACAGCTGAGAAAGCGTTGAAATGCTTGACCTATTGGCGGTCACACATTCCAACCTAGTCACAAACTTTGATAGAACAACGGCCCTGTCTAATTATTTAACCAGAGAAATAGATTATAATAGGGAACATTACAGTGTAATGTTCCCCATTATAATCCACTTTTCTAATTCTCCACTTCTCTACCGCCGCCTGTTACTAGGGTCGCGGCCGGTAGAAGAGGGGAGTCACAGGACCCGCCCCCTTGCTGAGAAGCCCGTCAGCAGTGCCCCGGGACCCTGCATTGCTGCATATTTCACCAGAGGGGTGCCCAGGACTGGACCTCACTGCCTCCCCCCAGCCTCAGGCCCCGGCGGTAGTTCCGCTCCTGGGCAGGGAGCCGCAGCAGAGGGATGAAAGAGCCACATGCGGCTTCGGAGCCGCGGGTCGTTGAGAAGTTCCTTATGGGAAGAGGGGAAACAAGATCCTGGAAATCCAAGGGGGGAAAAACCCTCCGTAAGTACAGCAAGGCCATAAGGAGCAGCCAGTCCTTAAAAGCAGAACTGCACAGAGGGGGACCCGCAACCTCAAGACCAACCGGTCAGGAAAAAAAGAAGAACAAACATGGCTTGGATCGTGGACGGTAGGAAACACAATCTAAACTAAGGTATGAGTGGACTGGGAGGAGCTTTTAACAGCTTTGCTAATTGTGTTTCCTCTAGAAGAAGGACCAATCATCTCTCAGGTTGCTGTCC